GTCGGAGCCACTGAGGGGAGCTGAGCATGCCTGATGCACACAGATCCAGAGAGAGAACCAGAGGGTGAGACAGAGAGGCAGAGGGAGATCGGTGCAGACAGAGATGGTGAGAAGTGAGGATAGGCAGAGGGAGAGAGTGAATCAGAGTTAGGCAGATAAAGAGAGAAATGGCTGGTGAGGACTCAGGACAGGGAAGGAGATGAAAGTGGATTCACTCCCACTGTGAATGACATCAGGGTCAATGACATCCCACTGACGCCCCATCTCTCGGGGCGAGTCATCCCAATGAGAAATCAGACCCAGTTCCGCAGAGTATGGTCAGCAGCGATGTGAGCATGGAAGGAGCCCCGATGATGAGCGCACCCCTCAGTGATGCAGCAACAAGCACTGTCTGTGACCCTGGCACTTGATTTGGGCCCACACAGTGTCCTGAAGGGGGTGGCCAGAGGTTGAACTGAGACAGATTCTTTTCTCCTGGGAGCAAGGGCCCACAGATTAAAGATGATATGCTCATGGCAGAGGCTGTTGATCAGGTGTGGTATTTGCAGGTGACCTCACCTGAGTGGGCTCCACTATATCAGCTTTCACCTGAGTCCCATGTGAGGCAGCCTCCCCTCCAAGGGCAGCAGGGAGGCGTGGGTCCAACCTCATGGACCTCCAAAGGGAAAGGTGCCACACCACCCCACTGGGCCCATGGAAGACAGGAGCCTGGAGGCAAATGAGGCTACCAGGACTCGCCCTGGCAGGACAACCACCAGCCTGGTCAGCAGCCAGGTAGCCTGTGTCCACAAATGAGGTCCTGGCTGCATGTAGCCATCCAAGGGCTTTGGGAGAATGTGTTGTTGTCAGTGGTGTGGACTGGTGCTGGCATGGAAGGGGACAGGAATGGAGCAGAAGCCTGGGGGGAGGGGCAGATCTGAGTAGGAAGTCCCGGGATGGGGACCCCAGGAAGTGACATCACTTCTCTGAGATGACACCGCATGGAACTCATAACTGTGGTCAACTGTCATCCAGGATCTCAACTGAAACTCGACCCAGCTCCCTTCCTTCAAGAAACTCAAATGGCCAACATGCTGTGGCACGTGCCCAGGTCTTAAAGCAATAGCTCTAAGAAAGACCGCGGATCCTATCTCAGACTGTCCTGAAATGCACCAGGAGCCTGTACAGACTTGACAGGCCAGGAAACAGTGTTGCCCCCATGGTAAGGAGGGGGACTCTGGGACAGGACATGCCAAGCCACCACTCTTATGATCCCTGCCTCCCCAGGAACCTCTGCGTGCTTATGGGTGAGTGTGTGAGTGGATGTGGATGTGCGTGTGAGAGTGTGTTTTTGTGTGTTCCTGTGTGAGTGAGAGTAGGTATATGCTCATGTGGGAAGGGTCAGCCCCTCCAAGTTTGGGGGTCAGGGTGACACCCAGAATCAGCCTGGCTGGTGTGACCCTGAAAGCCACCGTCGCCCTCATGCCCCAGGTGGATCCCACCTCTCAGGTGTGTCTCTTTGCTCCCAGGAGCTGTTCCATGTCCAGGAAAGTAAAGAGGTCCAGGGAGTGCACTTCATGTACTCCCCTCCCTGCCCGCAGAGCACAATCTTTCCCAGGGCCAATCTCCGGGCCCACGAACAGACAGAAGCTTCAGTTTCTGATGACTGTGCGCATGTGCAAGGTGAAGTATCTACCCTGTGGAGGAAGCTCCGAGGGTAATTGGCCCACAGCACACTGAGGCTCTGCTAGGAGGTGGATTTACATATCCCTCCTGGGAGGAGAACCAAAGGGCTGAGTGTGGACCAAGAGCAGTCTGAACTAGCACCTCACGCTGCTGGACTGGACTTAGGGGGAACATCCTTGAGGACCACTATGCCGGGCTGGTCTTAACTCGGGCCTCTGGCATGTGGTCTGTTGGCAAATGCACGCAGCAGTGTGGTGTGTGGCTGGTGGCGTCTCCCATGGATCTCTAGGTCCTTCTCCACGAACAGAGCTGGGCGCTCCTGCAGATCATCAGGCAGCACAAGAGTCCTGCCAAGTAACAATTCAACACAGGCAGACACCACGGGTCCAGAAGGGACTCAAGGATCATCTCTTGCCTGTGCTGTTCCCGAGGAACAGCCAGTAAATAGCCAGGATCCTTCGGGGTTCGTTGGGGCTCTGAGCTCACTGTAGCCCTGCAGGGTCAGCTTGCCACTCCCCTGGGTCCTGCAGGATGGACCCTGGCCACTGAGCTCAAACCACTTCTTCTGGGAGAGACAGGTCAGGACCAGAAACCTGTAGAACAGCCTGTCAGAAACCTGTAGAACAGCCTGAGCTCACCCCAGTCAGTGGGGGAATCGGGCCCAGTTCAAGATGTTCCAGGACAAACTGATGGTGCTGAGCCAGTCCCACACCTGCAGGAGGAGCCAGGCCCCAGCCAGGCCCCCGCCAGGGGATGCTGGCTGGGCTGGGGTGTGTTCTCACTAGCGCCCCTGGGGGAGAAGGCCCAAGAGTCCTCAGTGCTGGGTGTTCACACCAACTGAATTTAGGAAGACAGTAGAGGAGCAGGATCCAGTAGAAATCATGAAAGATACTGAGCTGAGGTGGCTGCTTCAGGGGTAGTCACACATGGACCAAGAGGCAGCACCCCATACTGAGGGGGCTGAGCTCAACCCACCTCTGTGGGAGGAACCCAGTCCTGGACAACAACGCACAGATTAAACTCAGGGTACTTAGTTAAGCGATGCCCTGCCGAGGCAACCAGAATGTGGGGTGATCCTGCAGGACCACTAGAGGTTGCTCCCCTGACACCACCATCAACAGAACCTGACCCTGTGCCCGTCTGTCCCATCCACCTCCGGTAGCAGTTTCGACTCTACACCACTAAGGAGAGAGAAATGTGTTGGATGTCCAGCTCTGCAACGTCATCGATTAGATTATTGACTGTGAGGTTATGTAGTCGCAGTTGATTTGAATTTGCAGGTGAAGCTCTGCTGGCATGGGCAAACCATATCAGCTTTCTCCTGATTCCCATGTGAGCGCAGCCTCTCCTCCAGGGACAACAAGGAGCAGTGGGTCCAACCCCCGTGGGAAAGGTGCTACACCACCCCACTGGGCCCATGGGAGTCAGGAGGCAAAGGAGGCTACATGGTCTTCTCCCTGGCATAAGAGAAACAGCCCGTTCGGCAGCCGGTCACCCCTGTCCCCAACTGAGGCCCTGGCTGCAAGTTGCATTCCAAGGCTTTAGGAAGCCATGCTGGTGTCAGCGGTGTGCACTGGTCCTGGCAAAGAATGAGACAAGAAGTGGCTCAACCAGCCAAGGGGGAGAGTGGCCTGTCTGAGCAGTAAGTCCTGATATGGGGTCCCCAGTAAGCAACATCACTGCGCTAAGAGGACACCTCACAAAAATCTATCACCCTGGTAACCTGGCAGTCAGGGTTGTTTTGTTTTGTTTTAAGATTTTATTTATTTATACAAGAACTGGGGTACAGGTCAGAGGTGCGGAGTGTGAGAGAATTCACCAGAGACAGAGCAGGGAGCAGAACAGGCAGACTGACGAAATACACTGCTGAGGGGAGCAGCGGGTAAGGCAGGAGAGGTCTGCCGTGCCATGTGGGTTTCTCCCTGGCCAGCCAGGAATCGAACCCATGCTGCAGAGGCTGCAGACATCTTCACAGCGCAGCGCTCAGCCCGCTGCACCACTGGGGAGACCCTGCAGTCAGGTTTTGAATAGACACTCGAGCCAGCTCACTTTACTGGATAACCTGGAGTAGCCAACATGCTTTGTTGCGTGCCCAGGTCTCCAGACAATGGCCCCAAGAAGGGCCGCCAGAACCTATGGCAAATTAATCCTAAAAGGCATCAGGAACCTCTGTAGACTTGGCAGGCCAGGAGTCAGCGTTGCCCCTGCAGTAAGCAGGGTGGCCCTGGGACAGGACATACCAGGCCACCACTTTAGCCCCTGGCTCACCTCGGAAGCTATGTGGGGTTGTGTGAGTGTGCAAGTGTCTGTGTGTGTGTGTGTGTGTGTTTGTGTGTCCTGTGTGAGTGAGAGCATGTGTATGCTCATGTGGGATGGGTCTGTTCCTGCCAGGTGGTGGTCATGGTAACACCCAGTAGCAGCCTGGCTGGTGGTTCCCCAAAATCACAGTCATCTTCCTTTGCCCCAGGTGGATCCCATGCTGTAAGTGTGTCTGTTTTCTCCCAGGAGGTGGGCTGTAACCAGGAAGGGGAAGACACTCAGGGCGAGGGTTGTGCCGAATCACCTCCCAACCTGCAGAGCCAGATCACTCCCAGCGCCAATATTTGGCCTCAAGTCATGCGCAAGTGTCGGTTTCTGGCACTTGGACGCAAGTGCAGCAGTGTGCAGAACCCGAACCCCATGGAGCAATCAGCCGAGGGTGAGTGGCCCATGGTCGTGCCCAGATTCCACTGGGAGGCAGAGGAGGTCCCTATTGCCCCAGGGAGAAGACCGCCTAGGGTGGGTTTGTATGAGAAGCAGTCTCCACAAGGACCTCAACTGCTAAATTAGGAGGTCAACTCCTGAGAGGCACTATCCCGCGCTGCTCATAGCTCAAGGCTCTAGCATGTGGTCCATTGGCCAAGGCACGGGGCAGTCTGGTGTGTGGCTGATGGCTTTTCCTGTTAAATCTCTAGCTCCTTCTCACCCAGTAACGCTGGCCTCCCATGCAACTCATGGGGCAGGTCAAGCGAGCAGCCAAGGAGCAGCTTCAACACGAGCAGACTGCCCATGCCCAGAAGGGCATCAAGCATCATCTGCCGGCTCTGCTGTTCCAGAGGATCAGCCAGAAAACTGCAAGGGTCCTGCAGATGCTCGTGGGGACTCTGAGCTCAGTGTGCCCCTACCGGGCCAGCTTGCCACTCACCAGGGAACTGCAGAATGTGCCCCGGCTGCTGAGCTAAAACCACCCATGCTGGGGGAGCCGGGCCAGAAATCGGAACCTGCAGGCCATGCTGCTGGGGAGGGTCCTGAGCCAAGCCCACACCTGCAGGAGGAGCCAGGCCACAGGCAGGCCCAGCATGGGATGCTGGCTGTGCTGTATTATCCCCAGGCCAGGTGAGAGTAAGTCTCCTAGCCCAGGCTGACCCAAGAGAACCTCTTGTCTGGGTGTTCATACCACCTGGAGTAGGGGTGCAAAGACCGGAGCCGGAGCCAGAAGATCTCCTCGAGGAATCTGAACTGAGACACCTGCTGCGGAGGTAGCGACACAGTGACCAGGATGCAGCACCCCACACTGCAGGGGATGAGCTCAAACCAACCCTGTGCGAGGAAACCAGCCAAGGTTAAACTGAGGGTCCTAAGCTGAGAAATGCCTGGCTTGAGCAACAGACCCTGTGGGGATCCTGCCTCACAAACAGATGTCGCTCACCTGACAACACCCCTTAGGGACCCTCACGGGTCCCCATCAAGCATGTCCATCTCTAGGGGCCGCTCTTGTTGACTCTGCTCACTGCCTCCCACACTCTCTTCACCCACCATCCCAGGCACATGCCCTCATTTAACCTCTAACTTCGCCACACCACAAGCACCGGCACTTCTCTTCTGTCAAAATCTTGGGTTCTTAGTTGATTTGAAGTTTCCTTGGCGTTGCCCTTCCTCTTGGATTGCCTTGTTTATTGTGTTGATAAATGTCAATAAAGTTGGCGTTGACTTGACTCGAGTTTTCCACTCCTTTGGCGTCCAGACCCTTCAGAGCAGTGGCCTCCTTCTCACTGATGCCTTGCACAAAAATTCACCTCCCCAGCAGAAAACAACATAAAATTACTCACTGCCCAGCCCCGCAGCCCTGGTCCTCTCAATGGCTCACTGTCCCTGGTTCACATGCTGCGGGGCAGTTCCTAGGGAAGGAACCCAAAAAGGTGTGACTTTCTGATCTACCCAAGGACACAGTGGAGACAGTGCACATTCTCTAAGTAAATGTGGAATATATCTGCATTTTATGAACACATTGGATTAGGGTACATGAGCCATAGCTGTCCAAATAGCTTTATTCTTTTTAAAGTTTTATTCCTTTATCCTGCAAGGACTGGAGTGTAAGCCAGAGGTGCTGAGGGGGAGAGGATTCCCAGAGAGAGTGGGGAACAGAACAGGCAGATCTACTGAAATCCACTGCTGAGGGAAGCAGCAGGTGAGAGAGGGAGGTCCGCTGGGCCATCTGTGATGCTCCCTAGGAGGTAGGAAATGGAACTTGTGCTGCAGTGGCCGGGCAATAGCTTGATAGCGCTGTCTGAACTCATGTCTATACCAGAATGAGTATGCTGGAGGGTTCTAGATATGGAGAGAACAAGAGGTGACAGATGGCCATCTCTGCAGAATCATAGAATAGATTATTGTCTGTGAGGTTATGTGTAATTGTTAGAACATGTGTGATCATTCTGAAAGGACAGACGGCTTGATTGACCTTATGTGTCATGAGGTAAACCTCAGGAAACAGTTAACTGTAGCAGAGAGTTGTGATTTGGGCCGGCACAAAGGACAAGTATTTCATTAATATTCAAAGTGATCCCACATCATGGCAGATCTGGTGCAGAGTCCAAAACCTTCAGGCCCAACCACACAGAGTCTCCACTATGCCAGATCTAGTGCAGCTGCCCTCACAGCTGCTCCGGGCTGCAGCATGCACAGCCACCACCACCGCACGCAGCTCTCCCAGAGCTCCTGCCACACCTTCAGTTCGGCTTCTGGGCTTAATGACGTCTAGACACCATGGGTTGACACAGCGGTTCTGTTAATGAACTTTTAAAATCCCCATGCCCAAATTTTGAGCCTCCTCCCAGTCCCTAAGCAGTGCACAACTCCATCGATTTTCACATTCTAGGTCTTTCCCATCAGGCCTCCTGGATCCTGGAGCCAGGCGGGTCACTTCTCCCTATGGGGTCCAATAGTTCACACCACTCATCTGCTTCTTCACTCTCTCTACGCTCATTGAGTAACCCAGTGCACAATTCTTCCCTCCCAGCCACTGTCCCACCAGTACCCTCATCCCTTGGCACTCTGCCCCACCAACCAGAGGACCACTGAAATCTCTGACCCGTTCTCAGCAGGACTCTGCAGGTCCCTGAGCCTGTCGGAGCCTCTGAGGGGAGCTGAGCATGCCTGATGCACACAGATCCAGACAGAGAACCAGAGGGTGAGACAGAGCCAGAGGGGCACAGAGAAGCAGAGGGAGATCGGTGCAGACAGAGATGGTGGGAGGTGAGGATAGGCAGAGGGAGAGAGTGAATCCAAGTTAGGCAGATAAAGAGAGAAATGGCTGGTGAGGACTCAGGACAGGGAAGGAGATGAAAGCAGCCACCCTGATGTCATTCACGCTGGGAGTGGATGCCCCATCTCTCGGGCGAGTCACCCCATTGAGAAATCAGACCCAGTTCCGCAGAGTATGGTCAGCAGCTCGTGAGCATGGAGGGAGCCCCGATGATGAGCGCACCCCTCAGTGATGCAGCAACAAGCACTGTCTGTGATCCTGGCACTTAATTTGGGTCCACACAGTGTCCTGAAGGGGGTGGCCAGAGGTTGAACTGAGACAGATTCTCTTCTCCCAGGAGGACAGGCCCACAAATGGAAGATGACTTGTTCATAGCAGAGGCTGCCAACCTGGGTGTGGAATTTGCAGGTGACCTCACGTGAGTAGGCTCCACTATGTCAGCTTTCACCTGAGTCCCTTGTGAGGGCAGCCTCCCCTCCAAAGGCAGCAGGGAGGAGTGAGCCCAACCCCATGGACCTCCACAGGGAAAGGTGCTACACCACCCCACTGGGCCCATGGGAGACAGTCTAGAGGCAAATGATGCTACTGGGACTCGCCTTGGCATGACAACCACCAGCCTGGTCAGAGGCAAGCAACCCTTGTCCGCAACTGAGGCCCTGGCTGCATGTAGCCATCCAAGGGCTTTGGGAGGCTGTGCTGGTGTCAGTGGTGTGGACTGGTGCTGACATGGAGGGGCACAGGAATGGTGCAAAAGCCTGGGGGAGGGGCTTGTGGAGCAGGAAGTCCAGGGATGGGGACCCCAGGAAGTGACATCACCTCCCTGAGATGACACCACACGGAACTCATAACCCTGGTCAACTGGCCCCAGAATGTCAACTCAAACTCGACCCAGCTCCCTTTCCTCCAGAAACTCCAGTAGCCAACATGCTGTGGCACGTGCCCAAGTCTTAAAGCAGTAGCCCCAAGAGGGCCGCAAATCCTTTGTCAGACTGTCCTGAAATGCATCAGGAGCCTCTACGGACTTGGCAGGCCTGGAAGCAGCGTCGTCCCCATGGTAAGGTAAGCAAGCGAACCCTGTACAGGACATGCCAGGCCACCACTCTTATGATCCCTGGCCTCCCAGGAAACTCTGCATGCTTATGTGTGAGTGTGTGAGTGGATATGTGTGTGAGTGTTGTTTTTGTGTGTTCCCGTGTGAGGGAGAGCATGTATATGTTAATTTGGGAAGAGTCAGTCCCTCCCAATTGGTGGGTCAGGGTGACACCCAGAATCAGCCTGGCTGGTGTGACCCTGAGAGCCACGGTCGCCCTCATGCCCCAGGTGGATCCCACCCTGCAGGTGTGTCTCTTTGCTCCCAGGAGTTGTTCTGTGACCAGGAAGATAAAGAGGTCCAGGGAGTGCACTTCACGTACTCCCCTCCCTGCCTGCAGAGCACAATCACTCCCAGAGCCAATCTGCAGGCCTACAAGCAGACACAAGTTTCAGTTTCTGATGCCTGTGCACATGTGCAAGGTGAAGTATCTGACCCCATGGAGGAACCTCTCATGATCAGTGGCCCATGGCACGCAGAGGCTCCATTGGGAGGTGGATTTAGGTATTCCACCTGGAAGGAGACCAAACGGGCTGAGTGTCTGAACCAAGAGCAGTCTGAACTAGCACCTCACACTGCTGGACTGGACTAGGGGGGATCATTCTTGAGGACCACTATCCTGGGGTGGTCTTAACTCGGGGCTCTGGCATGTGGTCTGTTGGCAAATGCACTGGCCAGCCTGGTGTGTGGCTTATGGCATCTCCCGTGACTCTCCAGCTTCTTCTACTACAAATAGAGCTGGGCACTCCTGGGTCATTGGCAGCATAAGAGTTCAGCCAAGTAACAATTCAATACAAGCAGACACCAACGGTCCCGAAAGGACTCGTGGATAATCTCTTGCCTGTGCTGTTCCCGAGGAACAGCAAGTTAATACCCAGGATCCTGCAGGTGCTTGAGGGGCTCTGAGCTCACTGTAGCCCTGCAGGGTCAGCTTGCCACTGACCGGGGTCCTGCAGGATGGCCCCTGGCCACTGAGCTAAAACCACTTCTGCTGGGGAGACAGGTGAGCACATGGAACCTGCAGTACATGTTTCTGGGAAAGGTTCTGAGCCAAGTTCACACCTGCAGGAGACCAGCCCTAGCATGGGATGCTGGCTGTGCTGTATTATCCCCAGGCCAGGTGAGAGTAAGGCTCCTAGCCCAGGTGGACCCAAGAGAACTCCTTGTCTGGGAGTTCATAACACCGGGGGTGGGGATGAAAAGACCTGCACGGGAGCAAGAAGAGCTCCTCGAGCAATCTGACCTTGGACGCCTGCTGTGGGGGTAGAGACACAATAACCAGGATGCAGTGCCCCATGCTGCGGAGGCCAAGCTCAAACCACCCTGTGCAAGGAAACCAGCCCAGTACATCAACCCGAAGGTTAAACTGAGAATGCTAAGCTAAGAAATGCCCTGCTTGGGCAACCACACCCTGCCGGGATCCTGCCTCACAACCAGACGTTGCTTTCCTGACAACACCCCGAGGGATGTTCACCCTGGCCTCTGTCAAGTCTGTCCACCTCTGGGGGCAGTTGTTGACTCTGCACTGCTGCCTCCCCAACCTCTCTTCACCCACCTTCCCAGTCACATGCCCTCATTTAACCTCTAACCTCGCCACTACCACAAGCATTCGCCCATCTCTTCTGGGCAAAATCTTGGGTTGTTAGTTGATTTGAAGTTTTGTTTGCATTGCCCTTCCTCCTGGATTGCCTTGTTTATTGTGTTGATAAATGTCAATAAAGTTGGCGTTGACTCGACTCGAGTTTTCCACTCCTTTGGCCTCCAGAGCAGTGGCCTCCTTTACAGCAGTGGCCTCCTTCTCACTGAGGCCTTGCACAAAAAAATCACCTCCCCAGCAGAAAACAACATAAAATTAACTCACTGCCCAGCCCCGCAGCCCCTGGTCCTCTCATTGGCTCGCTGTCCCTGTCTGAATGTTGCGGGGCAGTTCCTAGGGAAGGAACCAAAGAAGGTGTGACTTTCAGATCTACCCAAGGACACAGTGGACACCATGCACATTCTCTAAGTTAATGTGGGAACTATCTGCATTTTACGAACACACTGTATTAGGGCACATGAGCAATAGCTGTCCAATCAGCTGTATTCTTTTAAAGTTCGATTTCTTTGTGCATGCAAGGACTGGAGAGTAAGCCAGAGGTGCTGAGGGGGAGAGGATTCCCAGAGAGAGTGGGGAACAGAACAGGCAGATCTACTGAAATCCACTGCTGAGGGAAGCAGCAGGTGACAGGTGCAGCAGGTGCCATGTGCGTTGCTCCCTAAAAGGTGGGGGATTGAACTTGTGTGGCAGTGGCTGGCAATAGCTTGATAGTGCTGTCTGAACTCACGCCTATACCAGAATGAGTATGCTGGAGGGTTCTAGATACCAAGGAGTGAGTGAGGTGACTGATGGCCAGCTCTGCAGTGTCATCGAATAGATTATTGTCTGTGAGGTTGTGTGTCATTGTTAGAATGTGTGATCATTCTCAAAGAACAGATGGCTTGATTGACCTTATGTGTCATGAGGTAAACCTCAGGAAAAGGTGAACTGCAGCAGAGAATTGATTGATTTGGGCCGGCGCAAAGGACAAGTATTTCTTTAATACTCAAAGTGATCCTGCATCATGGGAAGATCTGGTGCAGAGTCCAAAACCTTCAGGCCCAACCACACAGAGGCTCCACATGGCCAGATCTAGTGCAGTAGCCCACACAGCCACTTCAGGCTGCAGCATGCACAGCCACCACACACAGCTGTCCTGGAGCTCCCGCCAGGCCTTAGGTTCAGCCTCTATGCTTTACCATGTCTAGGCACCAGGTGTTGAGGCAGAGGTTCCATGAATACAAATTTTTATGATGCTCCCTGACAAAATTCAGTGCTAGGTTTTGCACCCTGTTGATGGATTTTGACACTCCAGATCATTTCCATCAGGCCTCCAGCACCCCAGACCCAGAGAGGTCTACTCTCCCCATTCAGGGTCCCACAGCAAACACTGCCACTTGCTTCTGCACACTCACTGCTCTCATTGGTAACCTAGTACACATCTCTGCCTCCCAGCCACCTTGTCCCACCTGCCCCCTCCTCGCCCAGCTCTCTGGCCCACCAGCCAGAAGACCCCTGGCATCTCTGACCTGTTTTCATATGGACTATGCAGGTCCCTGGGCCTGTGCAGTAAGTGTGGGAGCTGAGCATAGCTTGCCTCCTAAGGGATCAGAGAGGGTGTAGACA